AGCATTGGCAATATGGGGCAATCACTATGTATTACAGCCTGATGTTATAAAATTCATCCTGTTCTCTCCAAGAGCAAGAGCCACTGGGAGGATGCAAACTAGAAAACCACTACAATGCAGAGTCATTAATGCCAGGAGTTGAGATAAGCTCAGGATGCAGTGGAACCATATGAGACAAACCTACCCCGGTGAAGGAGACAGAGGCAGGGGGAATGAAAGCATATGAGACTATATGGTAAGGCTTATCTCTCAGGGATGGGCGCAGCCAAGTCAGAGAAGGAGAGACCTACCAGAGACCAAATGTGGTCCAGAATCACAGGTAATTCCAAATGGCTGGTGGAAAAAAAGATAATAACAAGAGATGAAGAGGGAGACAATGGATCAGGCTTTAAATTTCATAATAAGGGGGCTGAAAGTTATGTAGAGTGCAATGAGACAATTAAGCAGCAAAGTGACATAATCAGGTATGTACTTAAGAAAGAGCAGTCTGGCTGCAAGAAGCAAAGGATGTAACAAGAAAGCCAGAGAGAAGAGTGAGCTCTAACCATCACCCAGATCAGAAATGGATAAGCCTAAACAAAGGCCATGGACGCATGATGAAGAGCAATGCTGTGAAGGAGGCTTAGAGCATCATTTGTCCCCCCACATGCCACCTGAGGACCAACCTTAGATGGTGATTATGTTTGCCAAATTGTTAGTAAGATCACATCTCAAGACTTGCCTTGATCATCTCCTTTCAGTCTTATGATATAAGGTTAAACAAGATTTTTTAAAAAAATGTATTTTAGATCCTCCTCCATTGGAATCAATGGAAGAGAACTGGGTGAGACTCTGGCACTCTTAATTCAAGTAAGGGAACAGGGACCTATGCTATCTCATATACTGGAGAACAGATTGCTCAGGGTGATCACTTCAAAAACCCTTCCTTGGACAATTTGACCATTGCAAAATAATGAGGCAAATATTCCTTTAACCCAGGATCATTTATCAGAGCTACAAATTGAAGGGAGAATAAATCTACTGTGAGCAATGTACTTACTAAATCATAGTCATTCATATTACGTCAGTGAGACAGTTACGCAGATAGAAACTCATTTGCTAGGTAAACAAATATATTGGATAGGAGATTAGGACTTTACAAATGCCAGGGACCCTGAGGCTCAATGTTAATGCTTTTCTTTTTCTATTTGAGTTGCTAAGGTGGTTTAATCAAGATGACTGACAGAGGAAGCTATCTGAACTTTTCAGCACAGCACTTAAAATGGTCCATAATCCATAATTGAGCTTCTGAATACTTGTTTTTTAACAGAGCTTTCTAAAACTGATTTGAATTGCCTCATGAGGGGATCAAGAGTTTGCTGACACTGGAAGTATTAAAAAAAAAAAAAGGAACGCTAAAAAACCACTAAATGAGAGGCTTTAGGCAGAAATCATACACAGATTAAAATACTGGTTTACAGCTTCAAGGGTTTTTCTCTTTTTTTTCTATTGCAGCTATCTGAAGATATGCTTATGTATTACTTTTCCCCCTGCTATTCAGCAACATATAAACAAATTGAACTAAGTTAATATGAGATTTTAGAAACAAAGTCAGAAAACCTGATACCTAAAATTCCTGTTACACACATTTTGAGGTTGCTTATAGCTTCACTAGGTTAGATCTTCTTAAAGAGGAATGATTTAAACATTTTATTCATTCACCCTTCATTAAGAGCCAAATTTGTATTGCTGGATATGCAAAAAAAAAAAAGAATCACGTATTAAGTGCTGTTGAAACTGGTATCACATTTCAAACTGAATATAGGTGTCTCCTCCCATTGTTAAGAATTTGAAAGGAAAAGAAAGTTGAACATAATTGATAATAGTACATTAAGCAAATAAAGTTTTCTTTCTTTTTAATTTATTTGTTTATTCTAATTTGTTATACATGGCAGGGGATTCATTTCAATTCATAGCACACATATAGAGCACATTTTTTCCATGTCTCTGGTTGTACACAAAGTAGAGTCACACCATTTGTGTCTTCACACATGTAATTAGGGTAATGGTCCATCTCATTCCACTGTCTTTCCCACCCCAATGTTCCCTCCCTTCCCTGGAGTGCCTCCATTCCTTCCATGCTCCCCCATCCCACCCCCATTATGGATCAGCATCCACATATCAGAGAAAACATTTGGCCTTTGGTTTGGGGGATTGGCTAACTTCACTTAGCATTATATTCTCCAACTCCATCCATTTACCTGCAAATGCCATGATTTTATTCTCTTTTAATGCTCAGTAATATTCCATTATGTATATATACCATGGTTCCTTTATCCATTCATCTATTGAAGGGTATCTAGGTTGGTTCAACAGTTTAGCTATTGTGAATTGTGCTGCTATAAACATTGATGTGGTGTCACTGCTGTATGCTGTTTTTAAATCCTTTGGGTATAAACTGAGGAGTGGGATAGCTTGGTCAAATGGTAGTTCCATTCCAAGTTTTCCAAGGAATCGCCATACTGCTTTCCATAGTGGTTGTACCAATTTGCAGTCTGACCCCAATGTATGAGTGTGCCTTTATTCCCCAACATCCTCATTTTCTTTCAGAGGACGAGAAATTGTGAAGATCTCTGGGACTTAGAAAACAATCATGTGGGGTTGAGGGTGTAGCTCAATGGTAGAGTGCTTTCTTAGCAGATGTGAGGCCCTGGGTTTCATCCCCAGTGCCATAAAAAATTTTAAAATAACATAATGAAACAAAGAAAAAAAACAATTGTGTGTAGAGAGGATAACAACTCAAAAATATGTATAGAAGAAAACGATTCTTTCAGATGTAACAAATATTAAGAAAAACTCCAAGAAAGGGAGATGCCCAGAGGAATATGATGGAGGGGGGACACCAGAATTGTATGATAGTGAGAGACACTTGCTTCCGCCAATGTAATTTTGGGAAATCTTTAAAAAAGTGAGATATGAGCTAGCTCCAAATTCTTCAAATTTTTTTTAGTATTCTCTCTGCATCCTGAACTTACTGAAGGGTGAAGCCACGTGTCCCTTGAGAATGTGGAAGGAAGAAATGAGTGATTCAGGTTATTATGATAATGACTCCATAGCAAGAAAAAAAATTCTGTAACTTGGAGTCTTTGAGAAAGGTAGACCTTCAAAAACTCATCTAATTTCTTTTGGAGTCTGTGTAATACCTCAGAGAACACTAAGATTCTAAGAAACTCCAGGGAAAATGTCTGAGAGATGGAATTAACTTTTGCTTAAGAAACTAGACAAAGTGGGAGAAAATTGTAACTAGATGGATTTGAGAAAGTCCAGAGCTTGACATCTAAATGGTCCTCCTCACCATTTGTAGAGGGGACTGAGATTTCCCAGCTCCCGAATGAGGGTTCCTATTTTCTGAGGGACTATAATTTCCATATAACTTGGAGAGATGAGAGCGGCCAAACAGTGTTTGGTGAAAATGGAATTGGGGAATTTGACTGATGAGTGGGCACAGAGAAACTGATTAGACAAGAGAAGTTTGAAGTTTAAAATAATTCCAAAATGGAAAATTCAACTTGTGGGAGCTGGCTAAAATCATTTCATTCTGAATGAGAATGTAATTTCTAACAATCAATTTTCAAGCAATCCAAGATTTAAATTTTCGTATTTCAGACTCAGAATTAAAATGAGCAAAATGACGCAGAAGAGGTTAAGATCACTCTCCCCTCACTTTCTGTATAGCTGGCTTCTTCCCATCATCCAGGTTTTGATTTTAAGATCACATCCTCAAATTTCTCTACTACTTAGCAATTGGGGCTTAGATAGTGCATTGAAATGCAACACATATGTGTTTTAAAGTCAAGAATTAGAAAATTATGGACCTAAATACTGTTTATGGAAATATGCATCTGTACTGGATGCTGTCAGAGCAACCAGGGACTGCCAAATTCCTGTGAGCACTCTCTTTTGATCCTTCTCCATGACAGTCTCTGAGAGCTTTCTCGGAGTGCAGGAACTTTCTCCAGCCAGCAGGGAAAGCTACTCATGTCTGTGAGCTGATACTGCTAGAAGCAGACTTCCATGAACATCAAAAGGAAAATGCTGAATAAATCCTCCAACTCCTTATCTTTTAGGTGCAACAACACTGAGAAGTATGTTCTGCAAATTCTCCTCACACTCCCCATGTGCACAGTTGCCCACAGCAGTGAGTGTGCTCATTAGCACACCTCTTTCTTGATTTTTCTCTTTTCCCAGTCTTTCTTCCCCACTCTCCTTTCCACACCCCCTGGAATCTCCTCCCACATAAACAACTTGAACTTCTATCCTTACCTAGGGAGACCCAAACTCAAACAGCATTTTTTTCCCACAAAGGAAAATTAACCAGACATAAAAGAAAGCAGATAAAGATTAATTGGAACTAACAATGCCTGGTGATTTGAGCAGCAAGAATAGCTGTAATAAAAACTGTCTAGGTTTGCACTGATGAAACGGAGTTCTCTTCAATTCTTGTAAGAAATCCATACAATCCACAGACATCAGGACAGTGTACAGCAGTGGTACACAAGGTCCAGTGGCATACTATGAAATATTTAGTGGAAGTTACTGATCTAAATAAACCCTAATGTTCTGCCACATCAGCTATAAAAAATATCAAATTTGCTAATAGTGAATTTCTAATATGGCAACTTACTAGTAAGTGTACTGTTTTATATATTTTAAAATGAAATGCTATCTTATGGAATAACATTTTCTTATTATACAGAAAAAGCTCTCAGTGTTTTTATCAGTTTGTACCCATAAGACTCCTAAAAGTCTTGTGGATGCTGGACTGCATTCTTTTCCTGCACTAAATAGAAGTCACACATGTTGGGTAAAACCCCAACCACCACAAACAAATGCCCACTGTTTTCTTGGCAGCCTGATCTTTGAACCCAAAATAATTTAAACAATAAGTTTCCAGTTCTTAAAAGAGCAAACATGCCTTTAGGGGAAACAGAAAAAGAAAAATACACAATCGTCTTACCGACCTTGGGTTTGGTATTTACTCTTCTCTTTCTTGGGTTAAAGCTGCTGACTATAAACTGGGCTCCTGCCAGGTTCTTACCGTATTCCTTTAACAGTAATTTTTCAGGAAGTTCTGGAAGAGATAAGAAAATAGAATCTGAGAGGAAATCAGCTCTGCTTGTATTGTTGAGTGATTCTACTACATTTACTGGGAAGGTGGATGTTCAATCATGTGTACCATTGGTACCAAACTTCCTTTGGGTAGGTTTTATTATTTTCTTCCACCCCCAAATCTATTTTCTAGTGGTCCATAAATATTGGAAAATTTGTCTTCTCCAACTAAACTGTAGAGAAATTGAGAGGTAAGGAACTTATCTCCTTTTATCTCAGGACCGTGTAGTTCAAAAAGCCAGAGTATGAATACCCAGTTCTCTTGCCAAGGCCCAGGAGGAAAGATAGACTGACAGAGGACTCCCATTCAGGAGACTCTGGTTCTGATTCTACAAATACTATCCTTCCTTGATTTCCTACCTTCTCCATAAAGCCATTCCCAAGACTTCCAATTCTCCACTAACGACTTTGCCACCCTTGTATTTCGTCCATTTGCTCACTGTTGCATGGTAGAGGGTCTTCCTTAGTAAGTTTCTTGAAATCAGACACTTGTATCTTCTACTATTTCCTCTGTAGTATGTGGTACAATTCTGAGTACTTAGATGCTTCTACCTAATGTACTAAGTACATTAAGGTTTTCTACAATACCTGTTTCAGCACCTTGCTCATAGACTGAAGTAAAAAGGCTTTTTGCACACACTGCCTCTTGGACTTGACCACTGGCAGCATGAGCTGGTGCCTGGTCAGAGATTGGGAACTTCTGGCAGAGAGTTGCTCTGCATCTCTTTGCCAGAGAGTTTTCTTCCAGGCAGCAGAAAGCTTATGTGACCTCAGACACAGTACATTAGATGTTTTGGGAAGTTAAGTGCAGTCAACATTTTGTTGGTGATCCTCAGGAAGTGAACCTGGCTGCCTCTCCTTTCTGTAGGTCTCCTCTGGTGTTCTGCGTGGTCTTCCAGAATTTCCCAATAGAACTGAGGTCCAGTTACCTACAGTGGTAACTCACTTGATTGTGTACTCCTTGTGGTTACCTCCTTTCCTGTCTCACTTCCACACTTTGCCTACAACATTTCCTGGGGTCACCTCCCAAATAAGTTGCTTATGTCTGGATTTTTGTCTCAGACTCAACTTTTAAGGGAACTTGAACTAAGATGACTTTCGATGAAATCCTTAGGGAATGAAAGAAAAGATGATTTTTCACCATTCCCATCACAGGCAGAGAGGCCAGGCCAAGGATAGGGTTGGCCTTCTTAAGATTAGGAGATAGAGGGATCAACTCCTACATCCTATCCTGTACCTCCATAGCAGAAATACCCGTAAGGGCGAGCTGTATGGGAACAAGTTTAAATTGCACTGCATCCTTGGGGGAAGCTATGAAGTTCATTGCACTCAGGCCTAGAAAAGACAGGTCAGACAACACAGCTGCCTACAAGCAGACGCCCATTTATCTCAGTTTCCATTAATCCAAAAAAAGAAGAAACCAGAAAATAATAATAATAATAATAGCTATAGATTTTTTTCTAACTTGGGTGAGCAGCATTTACTTTGAACTATGAAATCAGAGAACTGTCCTGTTTTTGTGTCTTAAATTTTGAAAGAAATTCCACCTGAGTAAAGAGTTCCTCAGGAATGAAATAGACAAAAGCCATATAAACACTTAGAGGATGATGGGAAAAACCAGTTGAACCCTCTGTTTTAACAGTTGTGCTTGAGCATTTCTGGTGGTTGATTGCACAATTTCAGTTCTTGAAGATTTAATGCTTTATTCCCTTGGTTGCTGGAGGAATACAATTGCTCAATGAAATGTGAAGAGATTTGACAAGGACTGTTTTCGAGGTTGTGTGCCAAATTCTTGCTTTAACTTGCTTGCTTAATCAAGTGTCTACTTGTGATCTCTTTGGGAGTTTCTGAACTTCATTAGCTCTTTCCTTAAAGAAAAGTTAAACTACTCAGGAAGGAAGGTTTATTCATCAAAGTTCAGTGAACATCAGCACTTTCTAATAAGTAGTTCTAAGCCCCAGTTTCTAAACAACTAACCAGTTCAGCAAAAACCTGGTCCACAAGAAATTGACCTGTTTTCAGAAGAAGCTCTGGAACCCCACTGCAAGATATAATCTCTCCTAGAACAGTGTTGATTTTTCATTATAGCCAAAATGATTTGCTATAGCAGAAGAACAATTAGAGCAAATGATAGCCATCTCTTCATTGGGGGAAATCCAGCAGAGAGCTCTGCCATAATTTTAATTTGAGATCTGCCTGGTATTCTGATGAAAACCATCTTAATGAACATGCAAATTACTCATTGTCTTTTATTATAAAAATTTGCACAAATATCCTGCTCATAATTCATAATCAGAAGATGAGCCTTTTCTGCAATGAACTTGAACTCAAATAAAACACTTTGGTCTTCTCGGAAAGATAGCATGCTAGGTGGAAAAGGAGCTTACAATATTCTTCAGTTTACAGATGAAGGATGTCTTCCTACCGTAAATTACTGTGGAAGGTACAATAACAGCTCCTCCCCAAAGCTGTCCAGATTTCAACCCTGGAAATGGTGTACACATTACCTTGCAAAGCAAAAGGGATCTTTGTAAATGTGATTAAGGATCTTGAGTTATAGAGATGACCCTGAATAATCTGGGTTAATGTAGCCTAACTCAATCACAAGGACCAGAAAATCGACAAAACTTTCTCAGCTGTGAGCAGAAAAAAAATGCCACCATGGAAGAAGGATCAGAGACGTGCAATTTTGCTGGCTTTGAAAATGGAGGAAAGGGGCCACATGCCAAGAAATATGGGTGACTTCTACAGCTGGAAAAGACAAGGAAACCGATTTTCTGTAGAGGGTTCAGAAAAGATGTTGGCCCTGACACCTTGCTTTTTATCCCTATAAAATTGTATCAGACTCTGACCTTTAGAACTGTAGGATAATAAGATTATGTCATCTTAAGCCTCTAAAATTGTGTTAATTTGTTAAGCAGCAATAGAATACTAGCACAGCTATGAAAAGCTGCAAAGTATTTCCTGAAAAGATTAACATGATAAAGAAGAAAAGTACTATGGCAAAGTTCATTTCTTCTCCCAAATGTCTAGATGTTTTTCTTTTCATTTACCATCATCCAAAATTAACAGGGATTATTTTATTTCCTGTGACTTTCCAGTCTATTTTGGAAAAGAGTAAAATATTCATTACGTACAATGAACCTCAGATTCCCTTTAGCCATAAATGCACAGTTGTATTCTCTAACCCCTTCTATCATCCACAATCATATATTAGTGCATATTCTTATGACCTACTTAAAACTATTATATGCAAATGCATAATAGGTTTATGAATTATTTTGTCTGAACTTTCTATAGTTTTTAAATATAATGTCATAGAATGAAAGGTCACTTGACATGAGCTAGGAAACAGGACACAAAGCCACCAACAACAAAGATGAATCCAAAGAAAGAAATAGGAAACAATAAAACCCTGACTTCTTCCTGTCTTCCCATCACACTTCTGCCCTTGCTTCCATGTGTGATGAATATTTAACTTCTCTCCAAAACAGAATGGAAGGTCACAAGGTATAAAAGACTCCCTGTTAATTTTGGATAATGGAAGAGGAAAGAAAAAAAAAAGAAGAATGAAAAACATACTTCTAGATATTTTTCAGGAGAATTGAACTTTGCCATAGTAATTTTTTTTTTCTTTTCCAACCAGAAGCTAAATGACTGGGGAGTCTGAGAAATGTCAATTGCAACATGAGCCCTCTGCAAGGCAGAGGGGCACAGGCAGGGGAAGCATGGAGATTGGAGCTGAAAGTAAACAGGAAATGACTGGCACCTGCTTCGTAGAGTACATTCTGCATTTACAATGAAGTCATGTTAAAAACCTTAAAATCTTCAGTTCTCTGGGACGATTATATCTTTTTGTTTTGTTGTTTAGATAAGGTACACTCAACCTATATATCTTTATTTAATTCAATATATCAAAAATATTATCATTTCAACATGTAACCACCATAAAAATTAATAAAATTTTTCTTTTTTATTAAATCCAATCATTGAAATCTGACATGTATCTTATGCTTATACCATGTCTCAGTTCAGATACTAAAATTTATCAGAAATCAGAAATATACGATCTATATTTAGATTTCTTAAAATTTACAGTTGTTGAGGAAGATTCACATACTGAAGTTGTTCTAGGAACATATAAAAATAATATTCAATAATCGAATCAAGTATTGGTTTTTAAAACTTTTTAGTTAAAATTAAATTAAAATTTTAGTTTCTCAGTCACAGCAGCCACTGAGGCTTATAGCCACTATATTGAAAGCACTACACAGTATCAGAGACCACAACTGTAGAACATGTGAGTTTTTTCACCTTTGTAACTTTTTCATGCTAATTTTGCATATGACCTGTTTTCTCTTCATCATCATTAGTCATAAGCCTTACAATTAAAAACAAACAAACAAGCAAACAAACAAACTGTGTTCTTGTCTTTGGTATAAATATAAGGAAGACAGTGAGAAAAGAATAGAAGCCCCATGAATGAATAGAGGGTGTTGGTGTGAACTTCAGAGAAAGTCAACTTAACTCTTCAAGCTCTATTGGACAGAAAGAATGGAGACCTCAGACAGCAGAATGAATCTGTTCTCACACACTTTTAGACAGGACTCTGTTTTATACGATAAAAATTTGATTCAAACTGGCTTTGACACTGAAAGTTCTCTTGGCTCACGTAGCTAAAAAGTCTACAGGCTTTATAATAAGAAGCTCAGGCATAACAAAACCAGGGGTTTAAACAATACTATTAAGAATTCACTTTTCTGATTTCCCCAGCATCAATGTTCCCTGTGTTGCTTAAAGTCTCAGAGTTTCTCCAACAGTTGAAAGATGGCCATCCAGCTATCCCAGCCTGATGTGTTATCCTTTATAAAGCCCCCTGTCAAAGTCCTAGACTGATACTCACGGACCTTTTCTTGGATCATGTCATAGTCTCTTTTGCATTACAATAATGAAGCGCCTGAT